TATTAAAAGAGCCTTTGATTGGTCCGTCAGCATAACGTGATGCTGACGTCTTATGGCGTGATGTGGTGTATTGACGTAAATGAGGCCTGCTCATTACAATGGTTTGATTCAAATACATGCCTAGTATTTTCGTAGTACTTTCTTTATCGGTAAAATTAATAGTAACACCTGAATCTGTAACATTAATGTCTTTTAATAATCTATAATCGTTACTAGACCATTTGCATAATTCCATACCGGCTCCTTTCAAAACGGTTATTAAATCGTCGCATGATTTCAATGCTTCTGATAACGAAGCTGCGCCACCAAGAAAGTCGTCAACATAAAAATCTTGATTTAAGGCGCGACAGACTTCGGGATATCGGAAAGCTTCATCATTTAATAATTTATTTAAACACGCCGTAGCTAGATAGGATGCGGTAATTACGCCATATGTCACTGTTTTCAAACAATACGTATTTAAAGGCTGGTCGGGTTTTTCACGCCATAAGATACGCTGATAATCGTGTTGGCTTCCAGCGAACCATAGACATAATATAATATGTCTATGCAGCGAACTCGTGCACCAATTACTACTATCAACATATCTTATCAATTATTTACACGAAGTGATAAGCGCTTGTCGGAAAACTGTACGCAGGATATCCTGTTTTACAATACAATATTATATAATATTTATTAATTGTTATTTTAATTATTATCATTAAGACATTAATACCTAAGCATATAAGTGAATCGCACGATTGAAAAGATTTACTGGTTACACAACGACAGATGATAATGTAATAGTAAGATTGAAAATGTACTGTATCTTTAACCAGGGTCAACAGATAATTCGTGATAACGATAAGTTAAAATCGTTTACGGTTTAATGTGGTACACGCTGTCTAAGACTTAAACAAACTCAATGCGGGTTGTGTATTTAAACAATTTAGTTGCACTCTTTATATTATTGATCTTCTGGTGGAATTATATTGATATATTCAAATATTAACGACCAATTGGTAAAAAACTTTCTATTGTTTAAATATCGTGATTGTAGTTGTGACTTAATTTCTTCGGTACTGTTTCAATTAACTAATATTTACAATATTCCGCAGCTTATGCTCACATTTAGAGCTATACAAATAACAGACATATTGTTTTACAATCAATCCGGTGTACGAAAATTAACTTTATTTTCAATAAACTATGGTAAGTAATTGCCATTTGGTTAATAATCATTTTTAAGTAGTCATATTTTTAGTTTTGTTTGCATTGATTGTAGATGTGTATAAATTAAATAAAAATTTTATTTATCGATATTGTAATTTTACTTGTTATGTAGCCATGTTTAAATATATTTATTTGTAACGTTTGATAATACAGAAATTACCAATTCAGTTAGTAGTTCTAGTAGTTCTATCAATACATTTTTTTTTTAATTCAATATATAATATATGTTAAATGTTATTATAAACACATTAAAAACATAATCAGACTATGGCCATTATTCATATGTTCTTAATCATGAATACAAAGTGCTTTCTATGTATTATTAGTGAATAATATGTATTATAGATATAAGTTATTATTAGGTCTTAGATGTTTTTACAATTGCAAATTTTTTATAAATTTATTCCATGCAAGTACAAATTAAAATCTATAAATGTTTAGTTCAACTTAATGCAATTTTTGGCATTTTTTCGTGCAGCGTAATCGCTTTAAGATAGACACTTAAAATTGTATTGAAAAATAAAATAAAACATTTTTAAATATTAAAAATGGTAGGCTCCTGGAAGACCAGACTGAAACCGCTATTAAAATATTCATATGAATTTTTATTTGAAAATATTTTGTTAAAGAACTTACATTTGTAATAAGTCTTAATAAAAAAATACTTGAACTATTTTTTTTTTTAATATTTATTTATGTAAACAAAAAAAGTTAACTGTATTTTTAGTTATATTTTTAATAATGCAATCAATTTTAATGATGCAATAAATTCAGAGTCCTAATAATAATAATAATAATAATAATAATAAACATGATTTTGTAAAAATATAATATTTAATAATTAATCATTTAAGTATTTATTAACTTACCATAAAAATTATATCTTTTAATTTATAATTCTTTATCTTCAGTCAGTCACTTTACATACTGATGTTGGTGATATAAAAATTGAAGTATTCTGTGAAGAATGTCCAAAAACAGCAGAAGTAAATATAAACTATTTATTTTTCATATTCAGTGTCAATTTTAACATTATTTGCTATTAGAACTTCTTAGCATTATGTGCCAGTGACCAATATAACGGATGTTTGTTTCACCGAAACATTAAAGGATTCATTGTACAAACTGGTGATCCTACACATACTGGTAAAGGAGGTTCGTCAATATGGGGTCGAAAGTTTGAAGATGAATTTAAAGAAAATTTAAAAGTAATTTAATTTTTGGTTATTTATTATTTAACTAAATAATTCTTAACACTTTATATAAAATTCTAGCATAAAGAACGAGGAACTGTATCAATGGCAAATAATGGGCCAAACACTAATAGTAGTCAATTTTTTATTACTTATGCATCACAACCAAATCTTGATTTAAAATACACAGTATTTGGAAGGTAATATAAGGCTAAATATTTATGTATATATTGAGTATTTTATAGAATAAATGTAATATTTACTGTAATGTTAAGTAATAAAGTTAGTTTCTCATCTATGCAACTCTTTTTACCTAAAATAAACTAAAATACTTGTAAAAATACTTGTTAGTACAAAAGTGATCATATAGTAACTAATTGTACAAGTTGAACTTATACATATTTAAATTACAAGGCTCTACCATTTATCAAAAATATTTATATAATTATTCTTCATATTACAATTTAATATTGTTTTTGTATTTTATCATAATTTTTGAAATATTTAATTTCTTCTTTTTAATTATCTACTTGATTATACCTAAGAGGAACGAGACTTTCATCAAATTAAAAAAAAAATACTTTTTAAAATTTTTAACTTTTCAGTTTGTAAATTAATTTATTAAAGAGGTTTTATAACATATTTTATGATGATTTATTGAAAATAATTCAAATCAAAGAGAAAGTATACATTAATAACTTTTTTTAATACATATTTTAACTTAAAATATTGGTATAAGGTAAATTAAATAATATGTTTGATTAATTATTATAAATAATAAAAATTCTATTTAAAAATGTACTATATACTTCTGGGCCATGGTTATACTGTAATTTTGACTATATAAAGTATAGAAAAATAAAGCCAAAATTTGTTAAAATATTTATACATATACAATTTTGGTTAAATTAAATAGTATATATAATTAAAATAGTACTAAAAATGTAAATGCTCATATTTATGTTATAGGTTTTACAATAATAATAATAATTCTTAATATATTTTCATGTTATTGTTGTTCACTAAGAATTTGTGTTATTCCCTAAAAAACATATAATCATAACCAATTTTTGTAGTTTAGATTATACTTAAAAAAAACTTAAATATACCTATTTCCATTAAAATTATAAGTTAATACCCATTTTATGTTTAGGGTTATTGATGGGTTTGAAGCTTTAGATGAATTAGAAAAACTACCAGTGAATTCAAAAAATTTTAAACCGTTGAATGATGTGAAAATCCAGTACATTACAATACATGCAAATCCTTTGGCAACATAAATGTTTAATTGAAAATAATTTGTAATTATGAATTAAGTTATTTTTTTATATAAAATTTGGATATAAATTTAAATAAATATATTTTGTAGTTCTGTGTATGTTGATTTGTCTAATCTCTTATAATTTTACGTTTTCAATAGTTTAAACCTCAGTGACTGATTATAAAATGTTGAACAATGTTGTTTTTATCAACAAATATAATGGTCTATTAGCTAATATTTTTAATTAGATTTATAATTTTGATGTACATATTTTCAATTAAATTATTTATTTATTTTGTAATATTTCTTATTATTTCTAAAATAACATTAGAAATCCATAATTGCATCAGTTAGTTATAATCTAATTTTTGTTATGAATTTGGTGGAATGGTTTGGGCATGTAATGAGGCAGGAAGAAACAAAAGCTGTAAGAGTGGTTATGAAGATGAATGATAAATGGAAAAGAAAAATAAGACCAAAAATAAATTGTTGGATACAATTGAGAAAGATATTAGGTCTGTTGTGTGTGTGCAGTGCGTAAAGGATGTAGAAATTCGTGACTAGTGGAGTTTTAGGACAAGGGTGCCTGTGCCCAAAATAGTCGGGAGAAAGGTAAAGGAGAAGCTATATATAACCCTTGAATATTTTTATAAAAATCATTTTATAATTTATACCCAAATAATAATGAAGTATTATTAAATCTATATATAAAAAAATGAAGCCAAAAATATATAACATTTCATCAATTGAGAACGGCTGGGCCGATTCGGCTCAAATTTTTTTAATTGTTCGCAATTTCTAGGGAAAGGTTTTTATGAAAAAAAATGTTGGAAAAGTGCTATTGTTTAATAAATCGTAATTTAATTTAATAATTTTTGACCCGGTCGATAACTGCGCAATTGAAAACGAAACTATTAAAAATTGTAAATTTTATTTTTGGTATAAAATGACGGGTGTTGCATAAATATTAAATAACAATATCCCACGATAGGTGCCAGAACAAACAAGAATGTAAGTTTGAAGGATTATTATGCATATCGGTTGATGATTAGACGCGATCAGGATAACGTTATTCTACGATGTCGTGAGCTTTGTCAACAATTCATGCTCGACATGTATGTAAAGATAGAGAACAAATAAAAAGCTGGGTGCGGAAGATTCTCAAAACAATTGTTAGATATAGGTGATGGGAAAATTACTACAGATGAAACGGAATGCATAAAATTCCGATTTCTGCACAATCATTGATTTGCAAGATGCTTTCATTGACCAGATATTTTCCAATGTACACAGACAATACACAAATCATGAGTGGCTGGCAGAAAAAGTAATTTTAGCAGCAAAAAATGTGGACGTCAACGAATTGAATCTCAAGATACAACATTTGTTACTAGGAGATTGGGTGTCATACAAATCTATTGATACAGTTTGCCATGCTACTGAAGCTGTAAATTATCAGAGTTTTTAAATTCATTGGATTTACCTGGTAAGCTACCTCATAATTTACAACTGAAGGATGAATCTCCGGTTATTTTGCTTCGTAATTTGAACCCACCACGATTGTGCAACGGCACGCGATTAGTCATTAAAAAATTAATGAAAAATGTTATCGAAGCCATCGTTTTAAATAGCAAATTCTGAGGTGAAAATATATTATTACCGCGAATCCCTATTATACCCACAGATGTGAAATACTATTTATAAATATAAATACAAATAAATACAATTTAAACGCCTTCAATTTCCAATTAGATTGGCATTTGCAATGACTATCAATAAGTCTCAAGGCCAAACGATGTCTGTCTGTGGCTTAGATTTGAGCACATCATGTTTTTCACACGGACAATTATACGTAGCGTGTTCTCGAACCATCCAATTTGTTTGTGTTGGCGAAAGATGGGATAACAAAAAATATTGTATACTCTGTTGCATTAAGGTATTAATATTGTTTTTTACTAATATTATCATAATTAACGGTGTATATAATTTTAAAGAATCAATTTTAATAAATTATTAAAAAAATAAATGTTTGATGTTTTTTTCATTTTTATATTCCATCACCGTTCACAGCACTCCATACCTCTTATACTTATATACCACATTCTTACATAGTTATATTAAGTTAGTTATTTTTTTCTAGCAATATATTCTCTAGAAATAATTTATATGACAAAACAACGTTTGTCGGGTCAGCTAGTATATATTTAATTTTTAATAAAATTGTTTTTTGTTGCTGACATTGATTTTTAAATCAATACCTAATTATTAGGGCCCGGTACTTGATGCATTTGCATATTTTTTTCTATTGCTTATATTCGATGCAAGCCCGGATTAAGGGGGACACGGTTACAGGGCCCATTGATTTTGAGGTCTATCTTTATCCCCAAAATATATTTTTTTAACGAGTTCAAAACAGTTTTAAAAAAAAAAAATTAAACTTATGGCTCTAGTTACATATTAAGTGTAATCTTTTTGTATATATTGTGTATAATATCTAAATAATTACATTAATTTATCTGTCTTCTATATATCGCTTGTTTGCTATAACAACGACATAACACAAAAATCTTCATTTTTAAGGTGTTTGCAAATAATAATAATTTTAGTGCTTTTCTTTATACTGCAAGAACTAGATAAGTGTATATATAAAAATTAGCCACTAGATGGCAGTTGTGACGATATTGCGTTGCCATCATATTAATAATTAATAAATTATTATTAATAATATTGATTATAAAATTGATCAATTATTGATCATATTGCAAATCAAATGTTCAAATGTGATTTGTGTAAAATCATGTTTTTCGTCTTATGTCATTGTTGTAGCAAACAAGCGATACATATATTTATTTTTTTTTGTATAGTATAAACTTATGCAATAAATAATAACATACAGTCCTTAAAATATAGTGATATAATTATTTTTAAATTCAAGTTGAAATGGGGCCCACTAAGTGTATGGTGTCCTGGGGCCCAATTGATCCTTAATCCGGGCTTTATTTGATGCTTGTTTTTACAGAAATTTAATTCATGAAGTATAAAATTTATCGGTGCAATATTTATTTTGTATTTTTAGGTAATTTTAAGCTTTACGGTCATTTTTCAATATTTTTGGTGCATTTTAAGTAATTTTTTGACATTTTTATTAAATTTTACTGATTTCACATTAGTTCACTAGTTATCGTTTCTTGTCGACCATTATACCGATAACTTAAAACTTGTCCGATTTTATCTCGCTGATTACATTCGTAGTTTTCATATTCTAATGAATATTATTATACCTACCTACATTTTATTATTTTTTCCTAATATTCGATTAGTACCTATCCGATGTTATCTAGTCAATTATAGTCGTCGCCTCGTTATCATGTTATAGTGAATAATACCTATTATATCTAAATTTTATTATTTTTTCGTAATATTTTTAAAATTACCTAGGAAAATTAAAACGTTTTTAAAACGTCTGTGCCTCCCAATCACTTCAGTGGACGTGGAGAGAAGTTTTTCCAAATATAAATATTTATAAACATATAATTGTTCATTTAGGTACTTTTGACAATATCAAATACGCTCTAATTGTATAATGCAATTATTTTGATTTTTGAGTAATTTTTAAGCTTTGATAAATTTATAAAACAAATATTTATAATTTATTTAGCTCGTTTTTTGTCATTTTTATGTCATATTTGCATCTTTTTTTTATGTAATTTTTAATGTTTTTAAGATTATCAACTTCCGAGCCCTAATAATTTCACATAGTACTTCAGTAAATATGTTATATATAATGATTTATATTTTCTAATAAATATTATTATTATGTATTTTGAATTTTAAATAACGCAAGTTTTATTTTATAACAAAATTCCTTAATAATCCCTTCTCTTTGTTGTTGTTTTTCCATGTTTTAACTTTAAAAACTATGATGAGTTAGATTCTTTCAATTTAATATACATTTCTGTTTGTAAGTAAAAAAATTGTTTTGATCATTTTTGACTGATGTGCTCAATTTGGTTATTATCCATCCATACACGGAGGTGAATATCAGTCAGTTAACAGATTGTCTGAAATTCTCTGTTGATTTATTAATTTCTTATAACTTTGAAAATGTTTTCATATCAATATTTGTTTGAGCTCAACTCAACTATGAACATAATGTTTTCAATTATTGTTTTTGTTTTCATCCTCATCAAATATATTGGGGAGTTCAGGACCCATTCTCATTTTTTTTAGTATTATATTTTAAAATCTAAATTTTGAATAAAATCTTTAGGTATAGTTATTTCAAGTTTATTTAATTTTTTATTTATTTAATTTTTCTCATTTTTTAATTATTTAATCAATAAGTACCCTAAATATAGTACTCTAAATATAGTAAATAAATATGGTACTCTAAATATTAATATAAATATAAATTTTATATTGTTTATTTTTTTTTTTTTTTTTTGTTAGTAAATATTTGTTTTTTTTTTAGTTTAAATCAAATTTCCTGAGGGCGCCTAGGGACATTTTCAATTATTTTTTTTTATTTGTTTAAGTCTAAACTACTTTAAATTATAAGTATTATTAGTATAGTTTTTTAGTTAAATTACTCTTTCGTTTTGTTAGTTTATAACTTTTTTGTTCATGTTTTATCAAATAACTCGCGGGCGCCTGGGAACTCTTCATCATTTTTTTAGTATTTCATAGTTAGAGGATGCAACCGCACACCTTGAATTCCATTCAAACGACCCTCCAAATTATAGCATGTTAAATCAATGTGATAATCATGTTCATTAGGGAAGGCCATTTGGTTGATACAAGTTTCAATAAATAAACACAATTAATGTATTTCATTAATATTTTTTTTATTAATGAATACATTATTAATAAAATACATTTTTAAAAATACATGATTGTATACCTATAATTAAGTCTACGTTTTATAAATTAAGTAAATGATCTAGGTATCTAAATTAACTTAATCATACAATCTTCTTCTATCTAATGTTAATTTTTTTGAAAAAAAATTATTGTTAATACTTTGTATTTTTTTTTTTTTACTTTTATTTTTTTTTATTCTTTTTTTTTATGAAAATTGTTTAAATAAATTTGAAAATAAATAATAATAGGCTTTGTAGAGAGCGCCTAGATTGAGGCATTATATTAAAATATAATCATATATATTTTTACATTTAAAATGAAGTGATACTCATCAAGAAGAGGAAAAACTTAATTCGAATTTAATTTCCTAATGTTTTCCTAAATGCTAAATGTATATCGTTTTATCACAAAAACGATATCATGTTATCATATGAAATCAAGTTTCTCATCTTCATGACAAGTATATACTTTGTATGCACACCAATGCGCTATTGTGCGCGTACACGTGCTTGTGTGGGTATGACGTACATTTTATAATTACGATATAATAATAATCGTTCCGGAAAACGCACGGACGCATTATTATTATTACAAAATAAATAATTATAGGTACTTTATGGAAAATGTGCGATAAATTCCAATAGGCACAATATCAAACTTAAACTATTACAAATATTATAGGACACAGGTATAATTATAATATTATCCTATGTATCGTTAAATGTTATGTACAAAAAAAAAAATCAAAGCTCGTCGTCGTCGAGCTAACATTTACCTTAGCTTTTATGTAAATTAAATTTTTCGTCGTATAGGTAAATAATATAATATAAAAATATTATGTCTTTAAGCATAACATGTGTATACAATTTATTCGATGGGTGTTTTGTTTTCGTACGCCAATCGATATGATTTTTATGAGCGGTGGTAAAAATAATTTTATAATAATAATAATAGTAACAGTATTAGGTATGTATGCGTTTGTATATGTACGAAGGTACGAGCGTATGTATCGAATGGGTATTATGATAACACGTAATAACACGTATGCTACAGTACATATGTGTACCTATACGTTGTTGATTTTTTTTCTTATATTTGTTTCGTTGCTTTTAAAAAAAAAAAAAAAATCGTGGGCATGTATATTATTATTAACCATGGCTTATTGACAAGATTATGGGCAATGTATTTTTTTATTAGGTCGACATCTTCATGCCATCATTTTCCTCGGAGTCATCCATTTCTTCATGTAATAACAGAACACCGTGCTCACGTAGATCAGTATGAGCAGCATACACGTGATGCCCAATGCCAATACTGATGTTTTCGTCGGACACGGTTCCACAATGGTGATCGTCTTGTCTGGAAAACGAAACGTGTTGTATTATTAAATCGGTTTCGTAGACACGACTGTAATTATCACTGCAATATTGAACTGCATAAACATATATGTGTGTTTCACATGTAGATTTCTGACAATCACGAGCAAAAGCCCTACGCAACCGAATGCGATCGTTTTACCATATTTGCATTACGGCCGCGGCGTAACATGTATAAATACGGGTAAACCCGTAAGACGATAATAATATAAAAATATAAAAAATGAAACGGTTTTGTGTATAGTACTCGTAGAATTATTAAATATTTCCATTGATATAAATAATCAATAAAACATAAAAGTTGTTGCCTGTTTTTCGCTTTTCGTTTTATTTTTTTATATTCAGTGCGTTTCTAGTTTTAAAATCGAACCGGGTCGTAAATATCTGTAAACGTCGAACCGTAATACGCTGGGCGAGAACTTTTATCTTATGTCTTATTTATAAGGATATTATAAGAAATATTTCAGAAATTAATATTATAATATTTTATAATTCTTTATTATTAATTAGGTCATGATAAGAAAATTCTCAAAACAGTTAAATTTTTAACGTACATAATACTGTAAAGGGTAAGCGGAGAACGATGAATGTTATCTGCACAATAAATCGAAAATCGTCTTTAGAAAAAACATCTAAATAAAAAAAAAAAAAAACACCGATTCTTAACGAAGCGTTTACTGGAATCGGTGTGTCTGTGCCAAGTATATATATAATGTGTATACTACACAATCGTAGCTAAAATATTTGAATAAAGGAATATTATATACTTATGTTCAAATTACAGTTGCCTAAAACACAATTGTGTGAAGAAGCATAAACATTTAATTGAGTAAATATTTTTACATTTTTTTTCTCACAGTTTTTCCTTCGTTACGGGAAAATAATGAGAAAATAAAAAAATTTGGTCAAATCACCTGGATCGAACAACATTTTAACAATTTCGGTGAAATTTTATCAATCGGAAGTTTAATTGCAAGAAAATATGCTATTTTAAAATCAATGCATAACAATCAAATTCTGACCTTTGTTATAAAACTAAAATGATTAAGGCTATATGTTTGTACTAGAACGCGTGTGTATTCCGAGTTTCAGTAGGCGGAAACTGAAAACCAACAGTAAACAAAAAACACTCGAATAAGTACGAAGCACGAGAAAACGAATTGTTAAAGTATAGGCTCTAGGGGAGAATCGATGAAGTAAGTAAATCATGATTTTATAAGAATATTGATTCACCGAAAAAATATTACGAAAACCTTATTCCGTACACTACGTAAACACAGGTATTTTGACTCTTTTCAGTTGATGGTTCTAGAATATGTGGTTCTAGAGAATTCCTCTTGCCCACCACAAAATTTCAAAAGTAAATGATATTTTTGCCATTGAGCTATTTTAAAAATCGAAGAAATGATTACACCAACATACAGTTCCTGCTCCGTATGCTCGTGTGTATAGATATGTCATCGTATAAACATACCTTTGTTGAAATCTGTGTACTGCGGCTCGTTGCTCTTTAAGAACTGCGATTGCTTTTCGTCGCCAAAGTCCAACACCAGTATTTCTTGACTAATCTGAGTCATGTCTTCGCTGTTCTCGGACGTGTCATTGTTGGGCGCATTAGACACCGACCTTTTGCGCCGTCCCCAAGACTCAATGGAATCTCGGCCCCATTCGCAAACGGCCTACGTGAAGGGTGAAAAACAAACGAATGAATAAAATAAAATATATATTTTTTAATAAAAATCGTTTGGGCGGAAGCGCCTGGCCAACTCTTGCTTCGACGACGGCAAGAGGAATATTGTTATTATTTTTATTATTATTGTTATTATTATTATTACCGGTTCGCACGGGCCCAAACAGTATTTAACGTTGCACTGGAATATTACACCGTACGACTCCGTGAACCGGAACGCTTCGTAAATAGATTGAAGTGCGTTGCCTTCGGGAGAGAACCCAGGAAAAATGGTCGGATCCACCGGACACCCTTCGTCGTCGATGATCTGGAACGTACTCTTCGAGTCCTTCGCCATGGCCACGCAACTTCTGGCGAATATACCGTAAGGTGCTAGACACACAAACGAAAAACAAACCGAGTCATTGCGGGAAAAACTTATGACTGCGTGCGCACCGTCGAGGAACGGACATCATTATATTTTATATAATAACGTACATGCATAAATTGTATAAACGTCTTGCGTCTCACTGGCGGTATTCTATGTACTATCATTCAAATATTATTTGGTACAATAACTAGTGGCGTGTTTGAAGATGGGACTCCGAGTTAAGTCTAACTCGAGATTAACGTGAAAATTAAAATTGAATATATTTAAATGTTGACTTTTTTTACTGTATTTTTTTATCGAATTTTTGTGCGTTGAAAAAACGAAAAATTGGATTCTTACATACTAATTTATCATAACAAAGTGTTCTTATTTTTTTTTGCAATTCCAATATTCTATGAAATAAATATTTTTATCCTTTTCAAAAATCCCATAAAATAATTAGAAATTAAAGTTCAATACAGAAAATCAAATATCGAATATTGTTTTGAATTTAACATTTTAGTATTGATCATAATATGAATTTTATCGACAGTATTAATGATACTATCAATATTGATCAACAATAATTTATTTATATGCCTTTGAACATAATTTCTACGTCGGAGAGCCTCCAATCCTTACATATGAGACTACTACATTTTACGATGCGCCACTGGTGTACGTGTAAGCATATGAGGGAACACGATTTTCTATTGAAGTGCAATTTGTTATAGTTACGACACTCACTGTCTTCGGGGATTTCGATTCTGAACGTCAGCTTATCTCCGATTCGCACTGTTTCCACTTCTCTTGCCCTTGAATCCAGGATTCGGATCCTTGGCGGCGGTGCTTCTGGTGCCGAAGTAATGCTTATCATCTCCGGGTCCCTGTTGACAATTTCATATAACATTTTAATTAAGCTGCCTAGAATTTGTAAAGCTAATTTTAGTTTACATGTTATTACATAAGTTGTTATAGTTTTGATGTCACATGGTTAATGTTAATATACGTATAGTTAATAATATAGTAAAAATTAAATTAAAATTAAAATTTAGTAAATGGTTAGTAAAATATTATATAAATAAATAAATAAATTGTTTGTATATATATATATATATATGCTTAGTCTGATATTTAGTATTAATATATTTATAAATTACGACCGGTTTTGAATTAAAAATTCATCATCAAGTTGATACAAAGTAAATTAAATCGCGACTAGATACGAAAAAAATATATAGGAAAAATAAAGGAAGAAATATATTTAGAAAAATTGGTCGTTTTCACATAGAGATAATTTAATCTAATAAGGAGAGATTATTTAAAATGAGTTCTTATTGGAAATAGTTATGTTAAGAAAAATAAATATTTTAATTATTATTATTTGTTATTATCTAAAATGTATTGATATACCTGAGATATTATTTTTAAAATCGGTTTGCATATTTAAAATATTATTAAAATTATTTTTCTTTGTTTCATTGTGTATGTATGAATGATTTTTCTAAAACTGAATTAATGTATATGTTATTTTGGTTATTTAATATTTCTAAGTCTACATTGATATCAAAATATATATTATGGTTATTTTATAAAACATGTTAAGCAAAATTTGAATTAAGAGCAGTGTTTTATAATTTTATTTCAGAAATGTTTTAACAATAATGTGTTAATATGTTAACGTATAATGTTTATCGTGTGAAACGGCAGAGATGAACCCTATATAATAATTGATAATATTAATTACATTTTATATTGGTATCTTAGATCTCACCTTATTGGCATCATCCCAAATGTTATGTTCTTCGAGGACATGTCGTACGTGCACTTGACTTTGTATATCTTGTCTGCTTTTGTCATAACTACACTGTGGTGTTGGAGAACAACCGTATTGGAAAACACGCCGGTCTTAGTAGGGGAAAAAAACGCAATCATTATCAATAGGCGAAGACCGAGTTCTATATTGGGTTTAATGAGAGAGTTCAATAAACCGGATATTCTATCCTTTGTCTTTTTTTATATTCGATGTAACTTATATATTATAAATCTCATCTAGACTTGAAAAATCTTACAAATTCTTACGGATTATTCTCCCATTAAAATGTTTTGTGATCCTGTGTTAGGTTTAAATTACTTACCACCGACTGGGTATTACAATCTTGACCAGCCATTGTCAGGTCCAATCGGAATTGGTCGCTGTTCAGCACGTCAATGTTGCATGTCTCCGATCTGCCCAGCGCGTATATTCTACCGTTGAATGGTTTATTCGTGCGTACTTGAACAGCTATCTTAGTGTCCTTACAATGAACGGACACTGTAAATGATAGAAGAACACGATTCGTAACACAAAATTAATTTTGTAAATTAGATTTGTTGCAGGTTTTTCACATTTGAAATTATATTAAGTTGGAATTGAAAATAATTACGATGTGAAAATATGTAATTAAAAAACTCCGCGTGTACATCGTAGACGAAAACATTTTTGGATTGAACTCACGTTTGCAGAGAAATTATAGTTCTTAGACAAATATAATAAGTAAATAGAAATCAAATGAAAGTGTTCGGCATTTATTACAGAAACATATCGTAATTAAATCGACGATTATTAACAATGAAATTCGTGAGTAAAATACTTATTAGGTATTTTTTATATAACACTACATGTTATTATTTTATTTTGTTGACAAGTACGAAAAAAGTAATTCGACAAGTTGTGTTCCAAAAATGGCATTTACGCGTTTGAATTTTGAAAAAAAAATTGTAATTTATTACCGAAAGTATCAATATATTATAATAAGATGGACGCACCGAATAACTAATAAGACTGCTAAATTCATTTAAAATACCCCATATAATGATTTACAACTTCTATATTTTTCCATCTGTACGCAAACCGTATACCGATTATGGCATGCAACTCGGGTCAATTTATCATTTTTTTTTTTTTTTTTACAGTCTTATTTTAAATCGTATGCCGATAAATCGACCATCGATAGCGATTTGCGGTAGAAAAAAAATAAATTAGAAATTCGAGTCTCGTGCTCAACATCGATCGAATAAACGTGTACGAAACCTATCCGAGTGTGGATAATTGAAATATATTCAAATAGGACGGAGCGTATTTATTATGATTATTATTATTATTGTTAAATTGTTCTGGTATACTGACCGTCGTAACACGTTCCGGTTTTGTCGCAGTTCAAATCGGTTCTAGTCAAGTTCAATGACGGATCGTCGGTGCTCTCGAACACGACCGGCAGCTGCTCATGAGGTGGCGTCATGGACTCTGGAAATACGGGGAAGGTCGGGTCAGATCAGGTGGTAAAGTGCGGACGCGAGTGCGTTTAATTGGGTCCTCTCGGATCGTGTACACTGGGCAAAGCTGTTGTTGTGTAGCACAGCGTTTCCCAAAGTTTGTTCCGTGGGACAATGTTAAGGATTCCGCCGGATGTATGCGATTATTGAGAAACTTATTTTATATTATATTTGGAAAAAATATTATTTTATATTATTAAAAAAAAAAAAAAAAAAAATGTGTTTTAAACTAATTTTAATAAAGAGTGATTATTAGCAATATTAACGGTATCATTAAAAACATTTTTTAGATTAATGGATTTACTTTTTTTTTCTTTTTTTTTTCAGAAAAATTAGAGTTTAATTGGAATTAGAAAGACATTAGGGTTCCGCGAAACAAACTATTTTTTAAGGGTTCCGAGATTGTAAAAGTTTGGGAACCTGCTGTCGTAACATATATACTGTGCCTGGCTGGTGCGTGAAGCATACCGGTCGGCCGTTTCGGACCCAAGGCGTTCCGTTACGCGCATGCGTCACGGGATCTGCACCATTGCGTACGGTTTGAACAACGAACGCGCACGCGCACTGGGCCAACGGCTATGCTTCACGGTCGTGTTATGCGTTCCGTTGCGCCCCTGCGTCCAGCGTACACTATCCGAGAACGGATCGGATATGGCTCCGCGACGACGAAACGGTAACGACGTCGCGGTAACAGAATATAAGAAGAAGATAAAAAATAAATAAAACGACACTCACTCTCGCAGTAGTTCTCGTAATAGTTGCCGATTTTTTGTCCGTCGTCGATCAGCGGTCGCTCCGCGTTCAAGTAGGTGCTGGGCCCGTCCGGTAACGTCTTGTGGTCCAAGTGAAACAGTTCGCAATTGTAAGCCGTGCCCACTGGCGGCCCTTTGAAAATGAACGATCGGCATAGGAACTCGTTCTCGATCTCGCAAGCCAATCGACACGCCGACTCACTAGTCACCTGTTCCGGAGAGGACGCAAGTCGTACACAAAACATGTTGGACAGATTAACTTAGAACTAGACTCCGAACAAATGCGGTCGGTGAAAAAATTTAAAACACTACACGGTTGTCACGATTCTCGTCCTCGTGTACAATTGTTTCGATCATGATATCTTAAAAAACTATTCGACAATGATTTCATAATATTTTACGATGGAAAAACTGTTACGTGCTCAGGTTTGACTCTTCACTTTACTTAACTCGAACGTAGAGGTATTGCAGGCATCAGTTAAAATTATATATACATTATTTCATTGCTATGGTGGTTGATAACGAATACGTACGAGTAGTACACGCAAAACGATTTTGGTCTCCCTCTTTTGCTCCCTGCCTTTTGCACAAGTCACGTTTCAAGATAATCTAGTCGAAGTTGAGCGGATACGCGGTGCACGTGCGTTAAAGTGTGAACAACTGCAGACAGTTTCGCCCGTATTCGTGATGAGTTATAACAAAAAATTTTGTTTCGATCCAAGCATAGCGCAATAACGATTCATCACCGTCGCGGAGATATTGTAGCGATCGGTGAAAATCACTGTCGTCGTGTTTCGGTTGGTTCACATCGGATGTGATAAATTTATAAAACTTTATCTCTTTATCGCCGTCATCACGAATAAAAATTGTTATTAGTGTTAAGAAACTAATAATTTAATAGTATATTTAATTCCTGTATGTATTACACGCTGTTAACGAATCGACGGGTGTTAGTATAATACGTCAAAACGCGAAATCTAAACGGTTCTTCTATTTACACGTTCAATTTTGAAATTTGAAATACATACGAATTGTCCATATTATATTATAATATGTAATATTCGAAGAATGCCCCTTAAGTATACATATTCCGAAAGATGTTCATTTATGTTCATTCATTGTTTTAAATATTACATACGATCGGCACACCACGTACATAATAATAATAACAATTTATTCGATTGACCTTTTACTGTTTTACTTATATATTATATAGTATTATATATTATTTTCTATTTTATGCGTTTTCAATGCGTTCGGAAATCGGATAACTGTTCACCGTACGCGCACATGTATGCAAATAAACAATGTGCGACCTGTATAAGTTGTACCTGTACTATGTAAGCATCCCGTACCTAAATAATATTTATGTATTCCATTCCGGAGGTACCTTTGCGAATGTGAGAAATGATTGGTAATATCAAATTGTAACAATAGTCTTACAAAGAACGGACAATATTATCTGTTCGGCGCTGCGATAACGCTTATTATAAAAAATTTTCTTTCATTGTATTATTATACAAGTAACATGCATTACAGTCGCTTTTAGTATAATATTAACATCATCAAATGTTGTATACCTGTAGTTCCTTGTCGTTATAATAATGCAACGAGGCGTATTGCGCCACCTTGTCGTCGGCCACTCCGATCCGGGGTACTTGGAACACACGATTTCCTTTGCAAGCTTGATTGCCTGAGGGGAAAAGCATACAGTGTGAGTACAGTCTCGAATAAATAATATACAATTGCTTATACAGTTTAATGTTTAGAAAATTACACGCAAGTAGTATACACCAATAATTGTAAGATCTAAACGAGTGATGGTTTACCTTTGATGCAGAGATTTTCAAAGTAATCGACACCCTGAGCATCGACAAACTGCACGTACTGACCCGTCGTCCGCCTGTCTGAATCGCTCAAGTGACACTGAAGGGTTACGTAATTGTACTCCACCGAACGACATGTGAAACGATGCTGTGAAATCGATCGTAATATTATAATTATTTTTGTACAATTTCAAAGTCATTCGATTGGTTTCAAATATATACTCGTATATACACATAATTTGAACGTTTTTACAAGGTTATTCGTGATTCGGTGTGGTTCTGGATTATACTGCAGTAGGGTACTCACCTCGTTCAAGCAGGCGGCTAAACACGCTTCTTTCGTTGACGTGTAGATCAACGCGTTGTCCAATCCCCGGATCATTTTGTTCGGTACCCTCTCGAACGACCAAGGTCTCAAGCACACGTTGTCTAGACAAAACGAGTTGATTTTTTTAAAATGCTATCCAAGTGGATGTATAACAAATACATTTTAAGTGGCCGAGCACAGACGTTTACTTTCTCGTACAATAATGTTATTCACTCGATTCAATGCGCGTTTTAATACAGGTCTTATCATCGTTATTGTTGTACACGAACCAAAACGCGTAGATCTCAAACACGCGTATATAGTGTACACACAAATACAATTTTCTAGTATATATATAGATACTCATGTGCGAGTTAAATAGTTTCATTTACGTCCGCTGTACATGTTTATATACGTGTGCATGTATACTGTTTAATGTCGTGCCAAGACAACAACCATATATAGCGGTTGTTTTTCAAATGTTCATTATTATAATGTCACGCTACGCTAAATCCAATCGCCAACCATACAAACTAACGGACTTATACTTTTTTTTATCTCAGAATGGTAGCTTTTCGCTCGTGCTAAACGAAAAACTCTGAACATTAGACGTTATAAGATAACAATGATATTAGTTACATTTAATATGTGTACCGTGCATAATAATTATCATATGGCACAAATCAAAGCTTGTGCACTCCATATACACGCAGTATTAACACATACTAACAGCATGAACACACAGAGTCTTTATCGTTCAATAGTGAATCCTTAGACGTACACAGGTTACATATTTTTATGAGATCTGTGAATAAATCACCGCAGTGGTATGGAAGAAACAAATGCATTGATAATTATATCACCAGCGCAGGCGCAGTTATAATTTATACATATATATGTATACATAGGTAAATAATGACATGCGAATCCGGAAGCCGTATTATAATCGTAGTGAAATTCTAAGAGTTAATACGCTGTATTAAAGCTGGAGGGCTACAATAAATAATAATCATATGATGTACTATAATCTAATGTATTTGTTCATCTGCGCATCAACACAATTATTAAAACGAAAATTGACTAGACATTAAAAGTAATAATATCTATTAATATAGTGGTGCATGACTTGAATGACTAACCTGATCGAATTTGCATTTTAACCATGTAATACAAATTGACAGAACGCTGTGGTGTTGCCGCTGGATTATTGGCAGTTGTCTCATTTTGTAATTGACATACAGTTTCTTGTATAGGCGTCAAAGGGTTCAAGACAAAACTGAAATGAAATTTATATTTTCATCAATAACCGTACGTCTTAAAATCTCTTTAAGGTTTTCTAACTTTAAAATACCCTCTATAAAAATATTGTATAAAAAATTTACTATCAATTACGTGTAACTATAACCATTGATTATAAAATAAACTATTAATATTGACATAAAAGCTTTTACTTTTACTTTTACTTGAAATATCTACCAACATATTTTATCACAAATGTTTCTTTTACGATATTAAATTTAAAATAAATTCAACTTTTGAAGTTTTTATTTTCGATATCTTATTAATTTTTAATATTTACCTAAATGAAGCTGCTTGGCACTCTGGCTCTTCACGACACCATCCCTGACATTCATACAGCGTCAAGTTTTTTACCGTATAATACGTCGTTCCTTTATAATCCAATTCGGTAAGTTTTTCAAAAGCAGTTCGACCTAAAAGTAAAAAATAAATAAATTAAAATTAGGTATTTGTTCTGAAGAATATTATAGTGAGCTGCGGACATGGATGACCTAAGTAAAAAGAAAATTCATTCTGAATTTTTTTTTCTACCTTTTTCAATATCTATAAATATTTTAAATTATATAATAATCATCCATGTTTTATAATAAATGAAGAATATTGAGACGATATAATAATAATAATCGATCGAAGTAAAATTAAAATTTTACTCTAAGATATATCATGCTCTCTATTATTGGTAACGGAGAAAGTGTCTAATAATAAATAGGTATATATTAATTTTATGTCCAGAAATGCATAAACTCAATACGGCGGTGGTGTGTCGATCAAATGATGTTAATAACTTAACCTAATTGTTTTTATCGTGTTGCTATATTGGAAGGACGGAACGAAGCCTCGTAATATATATATATATATATATATATGCGTAAATACTATGTTTTATATACGAGTAAAGATCGATTGACGTGCGCGACTATAAATTGCAGGTTTATGCATGCTTGTTGAGCAGCCAAACGACGCCCCGACAAGAGAAAATGATCAATTTCCTATTCGTGTTGAGAATTGGGTTGGCGATCGATTGTAATACTTTGGCGTTTCTGACCCGGAATTCGACGAGATAAGTGTATAATATATTATAAATATCCAAAAACGCAATATTCGAAACAGGCGATACTACTCATAAGAATATTATAATTACAAGAAAACGGTGGTGTACCGTATACATACATGTATTATAAGAGCTGAGTGGGCATAGCCATATTTCACCTACACGGTGAACCAGTAAGTTTATAATGTACGAAACGTTACCTCGTCTGCAGCGTCCGTGTACAATGTATACTATACATATATTTTAATATACTCGTGTTATTTATTTATATTATTATTGGAAAATATACACCGCCGAAATCCGCAAGTTCAAACGTAATGGATTAAAAATTACGACCCATAACGGTTCTACAGATATGTTTATAATTGTCGTACAGTATGTATAATTAGACACGGGTAACAATGCAAATGTCATTGTAAAAAAACCGTGATGACGACTGCATGCGCAGCGGCATGTAAGTGTGCATAGGAAGACGATCGATGATCGCGCTGTAAAGAAGAAAAAAACCCGAAAAGAGAAAAAAACTATGTAAACACCAAAAATTAGATTTGCTTTCCGCAATCGTGATCTTGACGTGTGCATCCTGAATAGATTCGGATGAGCAAGTAGTTTTTTCACCACGTTAAAAAATCGGTTACACTTCTCGGTGCGAGTACCTATACAGAAACTTTACGATGCGATCGACACATTATAATATATTGAACTGTGGATTTGTACTGTCAAAAATACAAATGTTATTTATATTTAAGAGTTCATCAAACTTGTTTTCCGTGATGTACCTACGCGTGATCTGTGATGTACTAAACGTTTTAAAAGGATCCACGCGTGTGTCTCCGTTCTGCAAGCGAACAACATAGAAAAATTGCATTCGGCAGAAAACATTTTGTGTTATTAACTTTAATATTAAATTTAGTTAAACTTATTGTTAAGAAAACGTTATCTATGCGATGGCATAGATTTTATATTTTAATTTTATACGAATTATGAGCATTTTTAAATTATAGTATCTTACATAATCATAACTTGATTGAAAATTAAGCATAGTAAAAAACCTGCGTCACCACATACATTACAATACATATTTAAGTTTGTCAATTTATCAGTTTATTCTAATATTAAAGTTAATAACATAAAATTGTTTTTGAACGCAGATTTTCTATTCCGTGCAATTAAAAGATGGAGACAACAAATATATGAAGCTTAAGGACAATAAATTAATGGCAGATTGATAGGATGATTGTAATATTTTCCAATTCTCATGCATGTTGTTTTTTAACACGAATCACTAAAACCTTATATAAATGCTTGCAATAATTTTCAATATTTCGGCGTACTACTATATTTCATTACCTTTTAATATTTGAAAAAGATAATTTATTGTTAAGTGCCTATAATATTAATTATTATTTAAATAATATACTTATTTTCTTATGTTTGTTATATTTAAATTTGTTAATCATAACTTTTTTCTTAAATTTTTATCACTATACAATAAGTTGTTGATAAATTATTTTTAGTAATATTTTAAAGTAAAAGTGTAATCCATAATAATATCATTAATACTGTAGGTAGTACAAATTATAATAAGAAATTTATTCGGAAAATACATGACAGCTTAAGTAGTTTTATGGTATTTGACTTAAATTAATTATTTTTTTAATAGATAAAGAAATATATTGAAAGGAAAAATAGTAAGCTTCAAGGTATTCATTGTTTATTAAGAAAATCTGGCTAAAAATTGAGAAATAAAAGTAGAATATCCAGTTAAAACAATTATTCATTTAAAACATACAAACACAAATTTTGAATCGTCCATCTCAACATTTTACTAATATAATTTCTTAATAATTTTAAACATTTAAGTGTATTATGTAAATTTAATAATTAATTTTTGCAAAAGATGTTCATATTACACGTACATAATATTATAATAGGTATATACGTAGTACATTCTTCCATAATTTGGTAACAAAAGTAAATAGGTATGTAGGAATATACTTATAACATGTGTGTTATGTATCACACATTTTTGCTGACAAAAGTGTAAGAAAAATTAAATTGTAATCGTTGAAATTAAATTCCGAAGGGAATATTCTATTTAGTTTCCATAAAAAATAATTATAAAAGTGAATAAAAATAATGAGCATTTCTTAACCATAATAATAAAAATAAGTATGGTTTTTTAGTTCCACTGTGTACGTGCATATTCGTGTGTGTATATGATCAATATAATATAACTGTGTGTTACACACCAAAGAAAATTGGCCATCCTTCATACCTAGACTAAATTATACCTTGAGGTAAAAAAAAAAAAAAAAAAAAAACAAACATATCCATACGATAAAAGAAATATTATTTAGCACAATGTTTTTTAACATACCTACATATATTATCAACATTTTATTATTATTCATTTAGGAACAGTCTCTACACATACCGATAAACATCATGCAACTGGGGTTTCATTTGTAACAAAGGATTTGTACCAGTTTAATATAGTGGTTTCTGCAGGACATTGACCTAGTTAAATGCATTGGTTGACAATGGTGTTAGTGTTATTATTGTCAGTTCCAATGGGATTATTATATGAATGTCAAAAAGTTTTAGATATATGTATACAAATTTACATTTATGTAACGTCAATTAAAATTAAAAGTACTCTACGATGATTATATATACTTGTATGGGATGGTCAAACAAATCGTATTTAAGAAATGAAGTAATATCACTCATCCTTATCTTACAACCATGTATCTAGGCTATTTTTTTAGGAAGGAGCACTAAATTCTAAATAATTGTGGGTTGTAATTCATAATATAATACTTTCTATCTATCATTAACAATCTTTAATTAACTCAATTGTTAAGAATTTTAATTAAATGATTTGTTACGCTACACAATAAATAGTATTATTAATTGCAGACCAACCCATTTTGATGTATTATTTTTAAATAAGCGTAACAGCTGCAGTTATGTATGCCTATATTGCTAAATTTAGTGATATTGATGGTCAAAATTATACATGATACTAACAGAATACGACTTGCTTTGTTTCTAATATAAAAATTAACTACTGTTTATGATTTGAATTGAGTAAATATATATGTATATGTTTATTTTTATTTTATTTTGTAATACAAATATATTAAGTTAAAAAATATGTTACATTTTTTTTTTTTAATAAATTATATGGCATGAGTATGAATATTTATTTTATAATTTTTTTTATGAAAATTATATCTATTAAAATTAATAATTTTTATAAGATAGTTTTTTGTATTTATTACCTTATTTTAGTTTTTTTTTTTTACTTTGTAGATAATTTAATAATAACACGTTATTAAAGAACTCAATTTCATAAGATATTATCAAGAAGAGGATTTAAAGCAAAAAAAAAAAAAAAGGAAAAACAGTATACAATATAATCGGGATTTCTTTATCCGTAATATAACAAAACTAAATTGGTAGGTAATTCGAATTTTTAAATGTAACTGTCAGTTTCGTTGGAAAAACCTCGGTGTGCCGACTAATTGCGCGTAACGTATTTTGTTCTGGTAGGTAATTATAATTATTATTTCACAAACGTTAGGAGCAAGTAAAGATTCGCCGAGTCGAATCAAACCGTGATGACACTACCTGCCGCGGCGGAGCCGTATTGGGAAGAACCAAAAAACACAGCAGAAAAACTTTAACAAAAACTGGTGATGACAGTTTAAAGGAAGCACTTAATAAATAAATTAATTAATCAACCCTTCGGAGCGATTAGTTGACATGCATCGGTGGATAACTGCAGACAGGCAAGAGTTCGATTACCTCCGTCTGGGACGTGATTTTTCGTGACTCGTCTTGATGCAAAACACTCTCACAATAGAGTTTATCGGGAGAAAGAAAAAAAAAGTCTATAAAACGACCACACACACACACACACACACACACACACATACACATATTTATGTGTATGTATGTAGAGCCGATAACGTGATTGATCGTTTAAGCCCGCGAAGAACGATTTCGGTGTTGGCGATAAACACGAGTTTCGGTATGCCTATTCGATACAGCTGCGAGGACCGCCGCGCAGTACGTTGCCGTCAGCGTGACCGCGGACTCTCGGTTCTCATTGGCCGACATCGCGGATGCGCGGAAGATGAATACGAGGTGCAAAAAATACGAAACGCCGGTTAACGCGTCACCGTGAGAACTTCCCTCGGCCCGAGACGGGTGTTTACGTTTTCCCGTCGGACGGACAGAGACGGACTCCGCCGGACGGTATTGCAAAAACGTAGTCCTCACCCGTACCGAACGTAGCCCGGCAAAACGTACACGCAGTTCGGCACCGGTAAAACGGCGTGTACGATTCAACACGCGTATTGAATCGCACCGATTCGCTCGTTCGAATACGAAGGCGTCGTGCGACGACCAGCTCGAATCTCTCGTAAGCCCACGACCGTTGTTCGGAACAGTAGTTTAAAGAGTCTGCGCGAACGAGTCGCACGTCCGAGCGCGCGCTGTACGATCGGCGCACGACTTTACGCCGGTGATATCCGTACGTCCGCGTACCGGACAATCTTAGCGGATACGATAACGCGTGTAAACGACGAAACGCGCGTAACGCATATTTCTGTTGGAAATCGAATGCCGCGACGGTTTTCCGACGAACCGTTTACCCGGCAACGACCGCGAAATCCGAGGAGCCGCTCGCTAGCGCCGGCCCGGCAAACGGGAAACAATACGCGAACGTTTGCAAGTATAATTTATTTACCGGCCGCGTCGGCACCGTTACGCGATGTACAAAATTATCGCGTACGTATTATACTCGTCGGATGACGACGTTTGGGGGGCTTCGATCGCGTTTCCTAATACACAAATCCGTCACGTCTTTCAGCAGTTGATGTTCGTACACAATACGAAATACGCACGTACACACACATATATATATATATATATATATAATAGGACGATGAGTATTGCACCAAAAAAAAAATAAAAAATAAAAAACACTACGCACGGTCATCTATAGGTATCGCAGTGCCGACAAGTCGGCCCCGGCGTCGCCGACCCGATTGTCCGACTTCGACGAGATCCGTCTGAACGTCTGATATAACGCACACAGCGGTAACGCAACAACAATACAAATAATAATACGAATGGTACAGCGATAATACGCGCGCGCGGCCGTCTCCAGTACAATATTATTTCATCGATTCCCATTCGATTTCGCGTTCATCTGCTACACGTCTGCACGCACAATCGGACGTCGCTAATAACCACATCCGTCGCGTATTGCGTGCACTAGTCTGTTGTACGCCGACTGGCTGCTAGCTGTTATTCGGATTTTTCTCTCCGTCCTCGTCTTCTTCTTCTTCTTCTTATTCTTCTTCTCGTTGCATTCTTCTGCGCCGACTTCTGTTCCCGCCGTTCGATTCACACAATCCAATTGTACATTTTTAAATTACTGTATTATTTACACACGCACGCACGCACTCGTACATGTATTTATTGTTGTTAGCAGACGTTATGGTGTGCACCTCGCGTACAAGGTGTGGCTATAACGGCCGTTTCCGTTGCCTTCGTCCCATCGGCCGACGGTAATATATTACTCCGAGTCGCACGCTTGAATAATGACTTTATAATACACTCGTAAAATACAGCTTTCGGGATTAACAAGAGTGTACCAAAGCCTTAACCTGTTCTCGTACAGACTCACTCGCCGGAGCGTGTTTACCCTTTGCGATATTTTAGCCAATCGCCGTACTACCGAATTAGATGTATTCAACGATACGCGTTATCGTTATGTGCGAGTTGCAAATTACTTTACTTCTAAACATGATAAAAAAAAAAAATTATCAATGGTGGTACAATAGACCCTGATTGAAAGGCACGGTATTTGATGTGCAGAAAGATGTTTTTTATGAGCAAATGTTACAATACTATAAAACGCGTGTGATTAAATGTAATTATTAATGATTTGATAGAATATGTAGTATTCAAATTTGGACATTGTAAGTGTACTTATTTGTTTTTACATTTATTTAATATTGGCTCAACTACATCGTTTGCTTTAGTAAATACATCATTCTCAGGATTAATAAAAATTAATTTTTTTACTGTCTTGCGAAAAAGAGTATCTCAGTGTTGTGTATATTCATTTCAGTTTTGAGATTGATCTTTCACTTTAGACGAAAATACATGCAAATTAAAAATAGGTTTATTAGGTGATATAGTTCCATCGTGCCTCAGTTAATCCAAGCCTAAAGTACAATATTACGCTTATACGAGTACTCTACGAATAGTTACTGATAACGAAAATACGAGTAATATCAAAATATATCGACATTTTATTATACGGGAATGAATGATTACTATCAGAGTAAAAACCTATTTTTGTAAATCATTTATTAATATAGGCTACCGTTTATCTTAATAAATTAAAAATATATGTTATACGTACCGAATATTCTGACGCAGTTCGTCCACAAAAGTATGAAGAGTAACCATTTTTTCGACCAGCTATAAGAATTTACTACGCCGGCAGTTGTCATATTTTTGAAAACTCCTGTAATGAAAATACAAAATACTCTTTAAAATGTTGACGAGTATTTTAAACGGCAAATTATCAACTATATATGTTGTACCGATACATGCTACACAGTCATACAGTTTAGTATATTATTATTGTATAAAGTAATGAAAACAATATTTTGTAAGCGCAATAATTATTGGTATGTCGGTATATATTTTATAAAAAAAAGTCTAATATCAAAACGATACAACTGCAGGTTCAACTTAAACAAGTGAGATTTGAATCCGTTAAGTGTGTATTGTTGTTGCACAGGTTATTATTATTTTGTTGGACTTGGTAATTTATCATCAGCATATAATTCTAAATTTTTATGTAAAAATGTCCATTGACGTGATGTCATTTTTAAGATTTTCAGTTATGTATATTTTTTTAACATTTCTTTTTTTAAACATTGAGTTGAATACACTATACAGGAATATATTATTTCACTTATCTTGAAAAAAAAACACTTTATGATTTGAATCGTGAAATGTCGATCACATTTTTATATTAAAAACTATGTAATTTTTTCAAAATAATGTTTTTCGTCTTCCTATCCGTTCGTATGTATATAAATGGAATGTTTCGGAGCAACCGTATAAATTGAGTCGAATGGTTTGCCGAGTTCAAGGAACTACCTCGGAAAATCGGTAGTCGCATATATGTCATTTTCTGTTAGTATGTGTACATGGACCACGTATGAGCGTATTATCGGACGAAATTTTTATAAAAATGAAAAAATAGCGTATAATATAATCAAAAAAAAAAAAAACCAATTTCCCCGCGTGAAGAAATATTACTAAAAATGCATAACTCAAAAAAAAAAAATCCATCTACGTATCCGTTCATGTTTGTGACTAAACGAATGTTTTTCATCGACACGGACCTAACTTGGCTTGCCTGTTATATTTAATTATATTTTGATGTCCATCCAGTAAATTAACTGCGGTGTCCACGACCATTCGTCATTGTTGGTTTTATCCCTCCAGACATGGTAGTGAAGTAATTTCCTCAAGAATTTGTGCAAACGTATTTTACAATATTATTTAATGACCCGTCCTCGCGTTGTAGAACGGTGCACACGAGTGTAAAATAAATCAGTCAAATATTGCTACAGCACAAGTTGGGCTAACGCGATTTCCTATTTTCTAGCGTTAGCTGTATGGAAAATTAAAAAAACTGCGGTCACACATTCTATGCATAAACAAGTGTATATGATTGCGTATCAATTTTTAATTATATCGATTTTGTCTAATTAAAATTACGTTATGAATGATAATTATACAATTCTATGAGTTAATGACTGAAACGTTTGTAATTACGCGATCATAATATATTTAATTCGAACGGTGTGTTCATTGTACCTGACCATAAGTTAAATACATTTAAATTACCACGATGCCGGTATTATTATTATTACCGTGCACCTAACGGATGGTCTAGCAATAAAATGTTTAAATTACAGCAATCGTTACATAAATTAAATATACATTACGTGTAAGAATGCTCAAAAGAATAACGGAATATGGCATAACACTATCGATTTAAGAATAAATAAGTAAATTTTTATCAATTATCTATGAAAATGTACGTGTATACATAATACGCTATGCTAGGCGTAAACTTATAATTTGTAAAACCGATGAAAATAGTAATTACTTAATTATACCTGCGCCTCTATACTAACCGAAATCAATTCGATTTCCGAACAATAAAATTCGCCTATTTATTATACTTTGTTTGTATGAGTGTAATTATAGATTATGATATACTTAGGTTTTGGTTGTGTATAGGGTTGGTTCTATAAGAAAATCAGACCGCGTGTACGTACATAACGTTTAAGTCATAGTTGTCAATTCGTATAGTGAAATATGTCGGATTTAAATCATGCACGTGCGGTTGCATTCGCCGTGGACTTAAGGTTCTTAAATAAACGAACAAATTAAATTATGTGGCGATTATTTTGACGTTTAACCATGCGTAAAACGCATTAACGTTTGAATTGCTTTAATAATTGACGTATGACATGCGGGTATTTTTTTGGCGAGGCGCACGCGGGGCGTTAAACTCTCTTTGAACTGGGTCAGTGCACTGGTTACTCACGGATAACGTAATGTTTACGATTGAGCCAATATTATAACGAGTGCAACTTACGAACGGTAAAAAAAATGTTGGGCGAAATAAAAATAAAACAACTTCCGTTAAAATTCGCTCTGATGGCGACAATTATTATTACGACGATGGTCAACTCGTGGTGGTTTTGACAATCGCGTCTATGCCGCGGAAAATAAACGATCCGGAAATAATCCGCGTGGGCTTATAAAATCTGGTGCACCGCGGGTAGTTATAATCGTGTGAGTTCGTCCAACACTTTTATTATATATTTACCGGACCAAATTATATAGTGCGAATTGCCATTTCTACAGCAGTAGGAAATCTCGTCAGTTTTCGACCTGAATAATATTCGGCTGCAGTCGAGATGATATATAAAGAGGAAAATCCACCATAGGTTTTCATCCATTCGACATGGTTATTTTTCCTCTTTAATTATATTAACGGTGGAGGGGGCATATCATGAGAATGATGTCTGCAGGATTGTTCGGACTACGCGTACCTTCGCAGCTATTGTTTTACAGACATGACGATACCGTTAATCTCGAGGATCTGTCCGAGAGTTCCTATAAGTCTTCGACACGTATATACAATATTAATACAATAAGTGGGAGGAGAAAGAGGGGATCTTATATTCGGCCCTATTTTTCATTTTGGTAGCAATCAGAATTTACACGATCTTCGTTCCGCGCGTATATAATAATGGAACGATACATAATTGTTCGACTGTCACACTCGGATTGCTGTAATAACGTATTTTATTATGTGTACAAAGGCGGTACAAAGATCGTGGTGAACTCTGTCAAATATAAATCAAATACAATGGTGATGAAGAATCTTATTGGAATGAATGATCGTGGCGGTGACGATTTCACTTGGATTCGTTATTTTAACTATGACTAGACGCGTCGAGTATTATAAATTCAACGAAAATTTTCAATTGAAAAATATCGAGTTCACCTAGACAATGCTCCGCAGTGGCACCCTGTACGAGGCGTTGTTCCACGATGAGCAATTGTCATCTGGTGGGTAGACGAAAAAAATGGGTCAGACTGAGGAAAAGGAAGAAGACGAAGGAAAAAAACTGAAAATACGATCGCTGTTGATTTAATTAGGTTTTCTCGATCGTCGATAATTGCTATAGGGCAGAACCAAGTGTGCCCAGGCACGTAGTTCAATACCGTTGCCGTAGTTTTTAGTTTGACGAGGTCATCTGTATATTCTATAGATTGAAACAAATGATGTGCAGTTTTCCATAGTTCGGTCAAGTAAACTCGACCATAATATTCTCTACATTTTACAGTTTATTTACATTTTTAACAAACATAATATTTAGTACAAACCTATGTAGGTTTAAGTATTTATAATTAATACGTATCCAGTTTTCAGTAGCTCAACATACAGATTATTTGATGAAATTGATGTATTATGAATTATGACCTTAAAATATATCAGCGATACTTATCCCATGAAATATATTACGTAATCATGGTCAGGTAGTTTATGTTAAACTTTATTTATGAGCATATGATAAGCTTGTATTATAATAAATATTTAATCATCACATTAAATTATGAATTTATGATTACTGTTAAATAGGTGTAACCTATACTCTTAATAAAAGAAAATTGTCGCAACATTTTATAAAAAATGTTTTGTTTAATATATTGTATGTCTATGAGCCATTATATTTATAGAAAAATATATCTACTCGATAAAATAATAAAACTTAATTGTATGTATATGTTTTTATCTATCTGTATCTTTTAAAGTTAAATATTCTATTACAATTGTAATTCTCGTATATCACATAATCTATTTTAACATTAATTCACCTGACTCTTAATATTTAACGTAGCCCTTAATGTAATGATGTGAAGTATTTTTTTATTTTTTTTTATATTATACTACCTAATTTCCCACGGCAGCTGAATTATCTATGTTCTTCTCAAACCATTATTTATGAATACGCAGTCAAAACTAAATTTGAATTTCTCATCACGATGTGTTCTTAGTATTTTAACCTTCACACGAACGAGATTTTCATAACTTCGTCAGACCACTTACGCCAAAATCATAGACAGTAGGCATATTACACCTCAAGGTACGTAGTATCCTAGTATACCAATCCCGTATAAATATTTTATGAGTAACTCATGATTGAATTTCCATTTTTTCTTTTACTATTCTTCAATTTATATTTTTCTACCAACATGTGTTGATATTTTAGTAGCCGATGGCCGATCGTGATCACTCAAAACGATCTGTACAACTATATAGTAAACACATATATTAAATTTAGTAATGGATCCATGTATACAATGTTGTGAGTTATATCGTATGTTTATTACAAAATACAATATATTAATTGAAAATAAAATGTCTTTAAAAAAGTACATGATATATTATTCATAATTATCTTTGATGAATTGTTATTTTGTTAGTATGTAATTAATTTACAACACGCTGAGACTTATGATAATATTGAGTACTTTCAATATATTGTAAAATAAATAGTTCTTTTTCACTATTATAAAAAAAAAAAAAAATTATAAACTGTTTCTATGAATCTTTTTATACATGTAAGTAATATAAAAAAAATTTTTAAATTATTTAAATTATCCTATTTTAGTAACTAGGCTAATTTGCAAATAGATATTTGTGTATTACCAAGACTTTTATAATATTCTTCTTCTTTATTTAGTATTTTTATAAAATTGTATTTGTAAAAATAGAAAAATACAAATTTACAGTAAACTCTAAGTCATAAAAATATACTTCACTCAATTATTATCTTTCAGCGTATCATTTTTTTTTACACGATTGGCAAAGCGATCTTCGTGACTAACGAGTAACTATAATCTGTCGATCTATTGTCAACG